CTGGCAGGACTGTTGATACTGATCCATAACAGAAACGAATGCGCAAGTATCAGCCGTATCTCGCGTTACCTAATGCAAATCCACACTACGGTGCTGTACCGGAGGGGAGAGAGAGAGCAGCGAAGGGGGGGAGAGAGATGTAATACGGTTTCCTGATAAACGTTACCTAATGCAACTCCACACTACCTTCGGAGCTGTACCGGAGGGGAGAGAGAGAGCAAGGAAGGGGCAGCTATCTTGGTGAGTGATCGGCGTTAGCTACAGAATGTTAGCTAACGTCACATCACAACATTGTAAAGTTAGCTATCATATATCAGGCTATAACTAAAGTAGCATTGATAATATAGTAACGTTACTGGCAGGACTGTTGATGAGCTACACATATCAGAGCAGGGAAGGAGGGGGTCTCTTTGTCTGCACAAAACGAACCCAGGACCGAAAGCTAACTAGCTTTCTTTTCCTGTTAGGGAAATAGTGGACTCGATGTCCTGACAGGCTGGTATTTGTGCAACCTGCACAAACACAATACTGCACCATGATTACAAATGGTGAAATACAATGTAAAACTACCGAAAAATACCAGCTCACTAAAACACAACCGCTCAACACAACTGCTCAACGCAACTACTAACTATTCCCGCGGTCAGAGAGCGGTGATGTGTCCCCTTTGTGATGTAATATGACGCGTTTGACGTATGACCTTAAAAAAAAGCCGTTTTTAAGAGCAGAGCTCAAAATTGCTCCTTTCCCTCTGAATTCCTGCCCTTATGTCTCGTAAAACATATCAAATCCTGCATTCACTTTTTTAATTGTAATTTTCAAGCAAGTTTAAGTGCAAATGTAGAAAAAAAACAAAAACCTGCAAGTTGCTCTTTAAGCTTTCGTGGGTTATATCAGAAGTGACCTGAAACGCCCACCTCACATATTTGAGATTTGGTTGGAGTCACGCAAATTGTTAACAAGCTGTGGCCTGAGATAGAGGCTCCTCTGGTCTTCTTTCAACAACAGGAACACCAAGTCAATTCTGACTCTGGTGCGCAGAGACTCACCTTAAGGTCAAGTACCGTCATGAACACATCAGTCCCATTGGTAACGGATAAGTGCCCTCTCAAATGCCTGAGCGGTACACATGAGTTCCCATCACGTATTCTGCTCAATCTTCCTTGGGGCTGTGGGTCAGTGAGAAGGTTTATACATTTGCATTTCACTTTTAACACACTAAGAAGTTAATTTGACTGTCAAATATTTGTTTTCAGCAAAAATGCAAGTTCCAACAGCTCAACTCGGCCGAATCTGTAAAGAATGCAACTTTACACAGAGAATCAGCTGTTCTGCGTAAATACTGCTTTAATATTCAAGAGTCTGGATTATGAGTGACGAGGGCTGCAAATAACAGTTATTATTTATTTTTCATCTGCAGATTATTTTCACAATAATTGTTGTTCCAGGAAATGAAGAAAACAATTTCCAAAATGATATTGCCAAAGCCGTTGGTGACAAAATTATTGTGTAGTCCAACCATTATCCAAGATATTTCGATCACTATTATATTCGACAAAGAGAAGCACTTAATCCTCACATTTGGAAAGCTGGAAACAAATTGAAAAAACGACAACTTTCCAAATGTTTCCTTCTCTGTTTATACTTGCACTGTTTGCTGTTACTTATTTTATTATCAGTGCTTCTACACGTTTCTTTCCTTTGCTCATTACATATGACTGCAGTACAAAGCATCTATTAACACTTTTTTTATATAATCTAAAAGTTTTAATAACATAATTGTTTGTCGAGCTGTAGGCTCTGTTAAATGATTTTTAATGCACGGTACGTACTCCTGGAAGTGTTTACAGAGGAAAGTCTGCAGCTGCTATTGTTGTGATGCTGCAGTGTTGTTGTGCTTTGGCTGTGTTGCCGTTATAGACAACATGTTTGTTTTGTAACCTCTTAAAATGAAGTGATACCGAATGCCTACAATGATTTGGTCTTACAACCTGCTGTAAAACAAATCATACCTAGCTGTGTATTCAATACTGGGCTGTGTGCAGTACTTATTATATGACATAGGCCAAACAAATACATTTGATGGGCCGAAGTACCCTTCTCTACGTCAATCTGACAATCCCCGCCCCTCCTGTTAATGTGCGGTGACCAGTGTTGGTTACTGTAACGCAACTACTTTTTGCGGTAACTAATAGCGTTACTAGTTACCTATTCCCATTAAGTAACGCCGTTATAGTTACTGTGATTTAAATGGGTGCGTTACTGCGTTACATCCGGTGATGGAACTGAACCGAATCTCCCTGCGGATGTAACTTACAGGCGAATACAGCGATGTCCTCTCACAGCACCATGGAAAAGTGAAAGTAACCAGAGAGGAGTGATGATTTGTTAACGCGGGGTAACATTTCAGGGTAAGCCAATCAGAGACAGAGTTTGGCGGGTCTTGCCTTATGAGGAAAATACACACACACGAACACTTGCAAATGCTAACACACACATACATGGCAACGCCCACCACCAGCACACACACACACACACACACACACACACACACACACACACACACACACACACACACACACACACACACACACACAATATGGCAGATGCAAGTATCAGCGAGAGCAGCAGCGCATTTGCAACTTGGAAATATAACCACTATTTTCAATTTGTGGGGATAAAGGACGCAAAAAATCTTACGGTAAAATGTAAACTGTGTGCAGGACAGAAAGCATTGTCCACATCGAAAAACAGCAATGCCAATCTCCTGAAGCACCCAACTAATGTAACATGGGGCTATAAAACTAGTCGCCAAAGACCCCACCGTCTCAACTACCGGCAGTGACCCAGATGGAGCAACACCATCTAAACAGCCAAAAAACGATTTTTTTAAATCGCCACATGTCACCCAGAGTCAACTAAACAGATTGATTGCCAGGTATGTTGTTGAGGACATGCTGCCCATCGCAACGGTCGAGTCTGTTGCACCTTCAGAAAACTAGTCAGCAAAAAACAACAAAAAAATTTGTATTTTTATTGTTATTATTTTTAAAGTAAAGTAACTTGTTACTTTTATAATTTAGCAACTAATAAAGTAACTAGTTACTTTTTTGAGAGCAGTAACTATAACTATTACTAGTTACTTTTTAAAAGTAACTTGCCCAACACTGGATCCAAATATGGTCATTTCCTTTGCATCAGCAACCAATCGTGAAAGTACAAAGGGGCGGTGACACACCAAGCCTTTTGCTTGTCTCCATTTCCATTATTTTAAATTGCTGCTTTTCTCTCAACCTCTCTTCAGATATTTAGTTTGTCTCCTCTCTGCCTGATGAACTCATCATGCATAGAATATTCTTCTCCTGTCCCAATAACACCAGGTATTTTGGCTCGCTCGAGAGCTGACAGCTGCTGTGTTGAAGATAAAGTTGTTGTGAGCTCTTTAAACTTACAGCAGTTTCTAAATACCTCACCAGTGCACGAGCAAACGGACAGCTCCGAGCTGCTGAGGTGGGGAGTGGCGCTGATAAATCTTTCAAAGGCTCCGATATGGAATCTGCGCTGTAAATCACTCGCGACAGTCACCAATACAGTAGTGGATGGTTAAACCTGCTTTTCTAGTCTTGTAAATTCCTTTAGCCCGCTTTTGTTTATCAGTCCTGCAGGGCCTCTTATAAAGTGTAACTGTCCACTTAACTGTTTTGTAGACCACCCCTGCTCTTATAGTAGGACAAGCCTTTCATACACAGTTTAACAGTTAGGGTGCAGAGCAGACAGACGGGCTACTGACATGAACTTGAACCCACCAGGAGCGTGCATTGGTCCAATGTGTTAGCTGTTACATGATTCCTCAAACTGTTGCCCTGTTTGTTGTGTGTTGCCATTGGAGTGACCATAAAGTTGTGTGCTCTATTTTTCAGTCGAATGAAAAGCTTTTAGTCTAATTTAGTCTAATCAAAGCATTAAAAGGCGAGTGGTTCAAATGTCATTACTTATTTTCATGGCTTCAAGATGCTCGCAGTAATACATGCTGAAAATATCTGAAATCTAACTTCTTGCAGGCGCTTAAACTTAAATTGTGCACCAAAACTGAGTTAATACCATATATTTATATAATGTGTTCCCTTATTCGATCTGAAGTGTTTAAAAACTATACACTTAGTGAAATACTGCTATTTTGTAACAAATGAATAAAAAAGAGATCTTAAAAATGAAGAAGAAGAATACTTCTGTTTGAACAATGCTGCGGTGGGTGTAGTTGAAGAGACAGCGTAACTAGAATTATCCAAACCATACTGTACCAACATATTCGCTTAAAACAAACAGAGCTGTATTTTTCTAGTCATGCTCATTGGACTGTTCATAAACACGGATATCCAGGACTGAGATTTGTTGCCAGGTTATATCATTAACATCCTGTGCTAGCAATTACCTGAATGCTAATAAATATTTGATGTGGTTCGTAATTGTATCTCCCCCCAGTATAACCGCCACTGTCTGGAGTTCACTTTCTATTCTACAAATCAGTCTGACCAAGTACCGGTAGTTGAAGAGTAGTAGTACATTCATGAATGTTAATAGCGGATAGGGAATGTTAGGTTTGTAAAATCAGTTAAATGTGTAGGCAGTTTGCGGAGACAAGTGATTTCAACACGTTTTTTGTAATACCATTTCAAACGACAATAAACAGGATGAATTTGAAAGTGACAGTAATAAAACTACTCAGAGATTCTGTATGATAATGTTTTAAGACTTGGAAAAATATTCCCTTATTTGCATGGAATTGCTTCATTGTGTAATTTTTCTGCAAAGAGCCGGCCAATCTGTATCATCATTTCCTCTGACCTCGGAGCGGTTCAGCATCCTCCTCTTCTCTCACTCACATCTCTTTTTCTGTCAAACACGCCTCTCTCCCTCATGTGTCTCTCTCCTCGCGTACTTGTTTTCCTACCTTTACTCATGTTTCTCTTGTCTCTGTTTCCTCCCCCATTGAAATGCAGGAACCCGTCCACTGCTTTCTACCAGGCTTTCCGGCCTAACAGATTACGAGGGTCAAAGCCTGTCAACGATAGGTATGAGCTCGGGTGTGTTTACGTGTGTGTGTGTGGCCTAGCCTGCCTGGCTAAACCAGACCTGCACCCCTTGAACCTTGAACCCTGATCCCTGTGCACCTTGCAACAAAATGTCTATGTTGACTGAGCTGTTTATGTAGTTTTGGAATGTCATTTTCTGAAAACCCATCAGTAACCACTGTCAAAAGGGTGAGACATCCATTTCCTGACTAGTTGGATTTGTTTCACATTTTTGTTTTATACAAGTGATGTTGTAACTCGACCTGTTTTGACACCTCGTGTTCCAAGTTCCAACCTGATTGCAGTTGAATTCTTCAGAGCCACATTTTTTTGTATACTCACTTGACACATTTGATTTGATTAAGAACAGTACACTTCATTTCAAGTTTAGGATTTTGATTTCCCTTTGTGATGGACAGGCCTTAGATAAGGAAACACTAAATGTCAATGGAAAATAAGTGATAGACTTTGTTAAAGTAATAAAAAGTGTAAAAAAAACAGAAGTGTTTCATTATATTCTAATGTGTACGTCATGCTAATTTCAAGGATAAAATGCCAGAGGAAAAAATGTGCTATAAAACTTATCACATGAAGACTAGGTAATGGAAAAACATTCTGATGTCAGCAGCTTCATTGTTGCATTCAAAACAAATGAATAATGATATCTCTTATATGTGAAATGCATGGTTAGAGTATGGCACTGTCGGAAGCGTCCGGCCACAGTCTCTGTGACACTTTGAGCGCGTGGCCCGTCACGAGGATTCGGTGCTCGGGTTTCTCGTGCCCCGATGACGTGTGCAGCGCAGCGCCAAGGGGATTTCAGTGCTGCAAATAGCATATCACAGTGAGAGAACATGACAGAGGTTGTGTTGTATTACGTCATATTCTCTGAAGTCCGTTTTTATTCTCCGATGATAAGCTAGTCAGTAATAACTTTATTGAGTCAGGGAACTGGAATACTATTTGTCAAGTAAACGTAACGTGATGATAAATCTGAAACAATTGGTCAAAAAGTTATTTAAAGATTTAAGAAATTATCGTATGCATTTTTCCTTTTTGTATGATCAGTAATGTATAAAGAACTTCAAATACATACTTTGGTTCTTCGTAAACGTACTTCTCAGTACTACCCACTGCCATCCAGGCTTTTGAAGAACAGAATTTCTTTATTTTTAAGTGCTCTGTTAGTCTTCTTTGACATCCTTCCTGCTAAGAAATATGGAGCACTTTTTTGACATGTCTGAGTTTGCTTTTAACACAGATCATACTGTGTACTTTGGGACAAAAAAAAACAACCAAAGTTTCCTAATCTCATAGACATTAAGTTGCGTTACTAATGGATTGTTCATTATTCTAAAACATGTGATAACCTGTTGAGTAGCGACAGTACCATAGGGTAACACCCCGTTGGTTTTTCACTTGAAAGTAAATATGTCCATGATTAACGTGTGGTTTGCATTAGTCACTACCACGTTTGATTCCCATGTAATTTCTCATGGAGGCTGATTGGAGTCCTAACTCTCTACCATGGATATTTAATTGGCAACCAACAAACAGAGGCAAACAAACTCATGATTTATGGTGGCATTTTAGGTTTTTATCTAGAACATGTTGTTGGCCTGTCAAGTCATGAACTTGTATACAGTGGGGCAAAAAAGTATTTAGTCAGCCACCAATTGTGCAAGTTCTCCCACTTAAAAAGATGAGAGGCCTGTAATTTTCATCCTAGGTATATCTCAACTATGAGAGACAAAATGAGAAAAAGAAATCCAGAAAATCACATTGTCTGATTTTTAAAGAATTTATTTGCAAATTATGGTGGAAAATAAATATTTGGTCACCTACAAACAAACAAGATTTCTGGCTCTCACAGACCTGTAACTTCTTCTTTAAGAGCCTCCTCTGTCCTCCACTTGTTAACTGTATTTAATGGCACCTGTTTGAACTCGTTATCAGTATAAAAGACACCTGTCCACAACCTCAAACAGTCACACTCCAAACTCCACTATGGCCAAGACCAAAGAGCTGTCAAAGGACACCAGAAACAAAATTGTAGACCTGCACCAGGCTGGGAAGACTGAATCTGCAATAGGTAAGCAGCTTGGTGTGAAGAAATCAACTGTGGGAGCAATTATTAGAAAATGGAAGACATACAAGACCACTGATAATCTCCCTCGATCTGGGGCTGCACGCAAGATCTCACCCCGTGGGGTCAAAATGATCACAAGAACGGTGAGCAAAAATCCCAGAACCACACGGGGGGATCTAGTCAATGACCTGCAGAGATCTAGTCACCAAAGTAACAAAGGCTACCATCAGTAACACACTACGCTGCCAGGGACTCAAATCCTGCAGTGCCAGACGTGTCCCCCTGCTTAAGCCAGCACATGTCCAGGCCCGTCTGAAGTTTGCTAGAGAGCATTTAGATGATCCAGAAGAGGATTGGGAGAATGTCATATGGTCAGATGAAACCAAAATATAACTTTTTTGTAAAAACTCAACTAGACGTGTTTGGAGGAGAAAGAATGCTGAGTTGCATCCAAAGAACACCATACCTACTGTGAAACATGGGGGTGGAAACATCATGCTTTGGGGCTGTTTTTCTGCAAAGGGACCAGGACGACTGACCCTTGTAAAGGAAAGAATGAATGGGGCCATGTATCGTGAGATCGACTGACAACCTCCTTCCATCAGCAAGGCATTGAAGATGAAACGTGACTGGGATCATTGTCATGCTGAAAGACCCAAACACACCGCCCGGGAAACGAAGGAGTGGCTTCGTAAGAAGCATTTCAAGGTCCTGGAGTGGCCTAGCCAGTCTCCAGATCTCAACCCCATAGAAAATCTTTGTAGGGAGTTGAAATTCTGTGTTGCCCAGCGACAGCCCCAAAACATCACTGCTCTAGAGGAGATCTGCATGGAGGAATGGGCCAAAATACCAGCAACAGTGTGTGAAAACCTTGTGAAGACTTAGAAAAAACGTTTGACCTCTGTCATTGCCAACAAAGGGTATATAACAAAGTATTGAGATGAACTTTCGTTATTGACCAAATACTTATTTTCCACCATAATTTGCAAATAAATTCTTTAAAAATCAGACAATGTGATTTTCCGGATTTTTTTTCTTCTCATTTTGACTCTCATAGTTGAGGTATACCTAGGATGAAAATTGCAGGCCTCATCTTTTTAAGTGGGAGAACTTGCACAATTGGTGGATGACTAAATACTTTTTTGCCCCACTGTAAGTATGCCCAATCAAAAAACGCTATGGCAACAATTTTCAGGTCAACTCCAAGGACTATGATTCTTACGGTCATATTTCCCAAAAATTAGCATTTGTATTTGACTAATAAGTCACTTTTGAGCCCCTGATACTTCCTTTGACTAAACTGATCTCATCTAAATAGTATGATCAAATGTTATGTTTGGCATGGCTTCAAATAACTAACACTGTCAAAAGGTACTGATGCTAATGTATTTTAAATTTGTTTCAGTGGTTTATATTGGGTTAAGCAGCAGTACAGTTTCTTTTTTGGGATTGTTTTATTTCACAGTTGTGATCAAATAGAAATAAGCATTTATATAATTGATATATTACCGTACACTGCGTGATAAGAGACCATGGGAATATCCTAGTTTATCTAATGTCTCCTGGTTTATGACAGCGGTTTTTAACTAAACAAATATAATTAAATGAATGAGATGTAACTGTCATGAGTCAGTTGATGTGGTTTCAAAAGCACTTTCATGGCATTGTGTTGAACCAACGTCCAAATGACTCTTTCAAAGTGAGCCGGTCTATATGAGAGGTGAACATGAAAACAACAGTAGCAGTTGAGCAACTTTGTGGTGCCGCGGCTGGCAAAAGATTGAACGCTTTTGTTTGTTTCCCATCCAACTCATGTTTGCCTGCGGGCTCTGTGACTAACTGCAGCTTTATTCAAAACGTTCAACTAATCACACGTAAAGCTGACGAGTCGCCTCATTCCACCACCCTTTGTCATGCGCCAGCTTTACTGCAAGGTTAGACTTGTTGGAAGTGAAGAAAGGATTGCACAAACAGTTTGAGGGGATACAGGAGCATTCCTGGAAATGATTGCTTTGTGAAAAATGTAAAACCTCAACTGGGCAGCTTGCCATCACTTCACTTCTTTTTGCCATCAGTGGGAAAGTTTCTACCAAGTTATCATCAAAACACAACTCTTTATCTTTACAATTCCACATGCCTCTTGTAAATTGCTCCACAAGCAATGGATTAAGTATATCAGCCCTAACTGAATTTTAAGTTACACTCTGCATTTGTAAACATTCCAGGAAAGCAATTTGTTGTCTGCTGAATGAAATCACTGTGATTCTGTGATTGGCCCAAACTAAAGCAGCAGCAGCCCTTTTCCTGCCCTCGGCCCATAATCTACTTTATGATTACGGAGAATAAAGAAAAGGCAGATTTATATTCCGACTGAGCACACTTGATCAGTGGCCCCAAGCTCAACTTCGGAGAGTTATTTGATCCAGGCCAGGTACACGGCCACTATTTACGACAGGGAAGCAAGCATGGCATTATTGGGACGAGGAGGCGGAAAGCTGATCGTGGGAAAGCTGCAGATTCACTGATAGAAAAGTACTCGAGTGAACTTGGTTTTTCAAATGAAGCTGCTTTCAGAACAATGTGTTTATTCAACGTCTGTTAATGAATATGAACCTAATATGGGTATTTTGCTTGTGATAAACTCAATTAGAGTCACCTTTCCTCAATACCAATGGAAAACAGACTCACAAAAACATTCTGTAATGGCTAACAGGCCTAGGGTCATAACCTCAGAGAACCTAAACCAATTCAATTTTTGGGTCTTTCTTAAAAGCACACACAACAGTAAGTACATTTTTTTGAACGGATTACTCAGCGGTTATACGGGAGGCCCACTCCCCCCACCCCCCCTCTGGCAAAATCACTAACTGCTGAGCTTTAAAGGACATGATGTGACTTGACATTATGCAAA